AGGTTTTTTTACACCAAAGGACTCTTTCAAAGGCAGTTAGCAGCACATCTGAAGATGTATGCAAGTCTACAACACAAATGAGCTTCTGATCTGTCACTGTGACGGACAAAGTGTAGAAACTTTGTACCCATTTAAAATAAAGTTGAGCCAATCCATAAAAATAAAGCGGGAGAAAGTATAATAGTTTCAATAATTAGGCTTTACCAATAGACTCTGTGTAGTCGCTGGGTAAAGGCAGCTGGTTGTGCGGGAAACGGAGTTTGTAAGATGTGGCCGAGCTGTCCATGAACACGACGCCGACGTAGCTGGAGGGCTCGTAGAGGCTGGCGTTCTCCAGATCCTCCTCACTGGAGAACATCTCCAGACGATCCTGCATAACTGAAGGAGGGAAAAAAATGTCCAGTTTGTTTTTTTTCGAACCCTCTGCACGAACCTAACAGACACAGAACCCTGCAGATGATTTTCAGACTTACGCATATTCTGAGCCACCTCTTCCATGATGTAAGTGGTGATGTTGCTGATTGGTGTGTAGCCGAGGCCTTTGAAGAAGTGGCTGTCACTCTCCAGCTCCGTTGTGCTGATGCCGCCATAGTAAACGTGAGGATTCAGGGTGCTGATGAGTATCAGGAGCCCCAACAGGAGCAGAGGGAGGATCAATTCCTGCACAGACAGGGACACAGAAGGAATGTGAATAGGTTTGCTCAGTAAACCCTGATATCCCCCAGGTCAGATCAGATATAGCGTCAACTCTTAAATATGTTTTCTTGTGTATGTCCAAAGCATTACAACCCAAAGTTGGTGAAAATTCATGCTCTGTGGGACAAGAAATGAATTTAAAGGTACATTTTAGTGAGAAAAGACTTTCCTTTTACTGATGACTGCATGCACACAGCGGCTCTAACTGCAAAACCAAACCACGAGATAAAAAAAAGAAAAAAATTATATTCCTATTGATAAACAACCTGTAAGGCTGAACTCAGAGGGCAGCATGTCTGGAGTTTGAGGCTTGTGGTAGACAGTACCAGAGAAGAGAGATGATTATGTAGTGTGAAGTAGGGCTGCCACAAACGATTATTTTGATAGTCGACTAGTCACCGATTATTTTTGCGATTAGTCGACTAATCAGATCATCATCCATTGGACGTA